CCAAAACTGTACAGAGTATTCTGGATGCGGTCTCACCAATGCCCTGTACAAAAAAATCCCTACTTTTACGTTCCATTCCCTTTTCAAAAACAGTATTCCATTTGCCTTCTTAATCACCTGCTGTACCTGCACACTAACTTTATGAGATGACACATACCAGAACACCAGATCCCAAATTATAGTTCACAGAACATGGATGGCAACATGGATAGAAAATTGACTGACAGGAAACAGAATAATGCTTAATGTTTTTTTTCAGATTGGGAAAGGTCAGTTGTGGAGTTCCCCAGGTCTCAAGGTTAGGACCCTTGCTTTTCCTGATATATGTTAATGATCAAAACCTTGGTTTACAAGGTATAATTTCAAAATTTGTAAATATACAAAACCTGGGAGCATTATGAACAGTGAGGGTAGCATAAAATGTCAAAAGCACACATTGATTGGTGGAATGGGCAAACAAGTGGTAGAGGTAATTAAACATTGAGAAGTTGGGGTGGCATGGTGACTCAGCAGTTAGCACTGCTGTCTCACAGCGCTAGAGACCTGGGTTCAAATCCAGCCTTTGGCGACTGTCTGTGTGGAGTTTGCACGTTCTCCCCATGAAGATAAATGATAACAAGACATTTTCAAACAGTGGGCAACTATGATCTGGAATTCACCACCTAAGATGGAGGAAAGTTTAGTTGAGATAATTAAGAGGTGATTGAATTATCCTATGTGCCAAGTATGACTCCAACAAACAGACAGTTAGCCCTCCGGCTCCCACCGATTGTAGTTTTGCTGGGGCCCCCTTGATGCCAGACTCGGTCAAATGCAGCCTTGATGTCAAGGGCTGTCACTCTCACCCCATTGCTGGAATTCAGCTTTTTTGTCTATGTTTGAATCAAGGCTGTAATGAGTTCAGGAGCTGAGTGGCCCTGGCAGAACCCAAACTGCGCGTCACTAAGCAGGTTATTGCTGAGCAGGTGCTGCTTGATAGCACTGCTGATGACACCTTCCATCACTTTACTGATGATCAAGAGTACATTGATGGGGAGGTAACTGGCCAGAATGGATTTGTCCTGCTTTTTGTGTACATGTTCTATGTAGGATATACCTGGGCAATTTTCCACATTGTCAGATAGAGGTCAGTGTTCTCAGCTCCAGGACATCTCTGCAGGAGTTCAAGGCAGTTCCGAGGCCCAACCATCTTCAGCTGCTTCATCAATGACCCTCTCTCCAACATGAGGACAAAAGTGGTGATGTTTGCCGATGATTGCACAATGTTCAGCATCATTCACAATTCCTCAGACACTGAAGCAGTCCAGGTCCAAATGCAACAAGATATGGACAATATCCAGGTTTGGGCTGACAAGCAGCAAGTAACATTCATGCCACACAAATGCCAGGCAGTGAACAACTCCAAAAAGGGACAGTCTAACTTCCACCTCTTGACATTCAATAATGTTACCATCACTGAATTTCCCCACTATCAACATCCTTGGCATTACCATTGACCAGAAACTCAACTGGACTCGCCACATAAACACTGGCTACAACAGCAGGTCAGAGGCTCAGAATACTGTGGCAAGTAATTCACTTCATACCCCGCCAAAGCCTACCCACCATCTACAAGGCACAAAACAGGAATGTGATGGAATGAATCTCACTTGCATGGATGACTGCACCTCCAACAACAGTCAAGATGCTTGACACCGTCCAGGAGAAAGCAGCCCTCCATTCCTTTCACCATTGATGCTGGGTAGCAGCAGCGTGTACTATATATAAGGCACACTGCAGAAATTCACCAAAGATCCTCAGACATTACCTTCCAAGCCCACAACCACTTCTATCTAGGAGGGCAAGGGCAGCAAATACACTGGAACGCCACCACCTGCAAATTCCACTCCAAGCCACTCACCAGCCTAACTTAGAAATATATTGCCTTTGTCTCACTGTTCCTGGGTCAAAATCCTGGAAATCCCTCCCTAAGGGCATTGTGGGTCAATCTACAGCAGCTGGACTGCAGCAATTCAAGAAAACAGTTCACCACAAACTTCAAAAGAGCAAGTAGGAAGGGTAATAAATGCTGGTCAGCCAGCAACTCCCACATCACAGGAGTGAATTTTTTTTTAAAAATCCACAAAATAACAGCATTCAGTAGAATGGGGAGAAGGCCAGAAGTGGCACTAAGTTAACTGCTCCTTCAGAAAGCTACAGGCTCAATGACTGAATAGCATTCTTCTAATCTATAACTATTCTGTGATTAGAGGTAAAATGAACTGAATACTCTGAAGCTGTATTGAAGACCCTAATATGTTAAAAATATCTCAGTCTTTCAGGAGAAGTCCTAGTAACCAGAGAAATGAGGGATATTCACCTCGGGCAGAGAAAATTTACTCGGAGATTTGATAAATGTCAAAAATCATGAACACTTTTGATGGAGCAAATAGGGAGAAAATATTTACACCGTGTGTGAATTTAAATTTACCAATTTAAGGTAATTGGTAAACGAACCGGAAGTATTATGAGAGGGTGCCGGAAGCAGATAAATAAACTTTAACAATTAATTAATAATAATTAATTAATTTCAATAAACTTTAAATGAAAATGCACAAATACTTGAAAGAGAGAAATAAAACCTGGTCAGAGGGATTGAGAAGGGAAGTCAGAATAATTGGATCGGTTGTTTTCAAAGAGCCAAATCCTGTAAAATGGCTTCTTTCTGTACTCTTATCATTTTGTGATTCTAAATTATTTTTTGACTTGCAGGTAAATTATTAATGAATCTAGTGGTGAGGCAATTCAACTTTTTTGTGTAAGATTATGGGAAATTGTCTGGTTATAAATTTTATGATGAATGATTGCATAATCATATTTCGGTTTCACTCACACCCAGTTTCTGCCATCATAATTGTTCACTTTATACAGATACATTGTACTACCCCAGTCAGTGACAAAAGAAGGAAACAAAAAAAACCTACTCTTGTAGAATACTGAAAGAGTCCTGCATATTGGAGTGCCGTCATTGAGATGAGATAAAAATCCCATCAACCAGTTCAGGTTGAAGGGAGTAATTCTTTTGCACTAATCGAAGAAGAGCAGGAAAATCCTTTCAATGTTTTAGCCAACATTATTCGTTGATAAACACAACAAGGAACCAATTTTCTTATCAATTATTTCATTGCTGTATGGGGCCTTGCTGTGAGGAAATTGATTATCAGACTTCTTATGCTCTGACAGTGGCTACATATCAATAAAACCTCACTGATTGTTAAAACATTTTGGGACTTCGAGTTGGCGTAAGGTACTATTTTTATTCAGATTTTTGTTTGCTTTTGCTGCAAGTGACAGGATCCTCTTCCCTTCCCATCTGGCTATTGAAAATCCTACATAATCAGATTGTACGTAAACAAAATTATAATTACAATTACATTGATCAATAGCTCAACAATCAGGTATGTTAATTTAACCACTGAATTGTTGGATAATTATGACATCTTGGAATGACTGCTGGCTGAAATGTGAAGTAAACAGGACACAGGGGAAGTTGTAATTTCTTATTACTGCATTACATAATACTGCAAAGTGTTGAACCAAGAATGTTAAAATTGAATTGAACTCAGGCAGTCCTGTGAAATGAAATACACTATGGTACATTAAAAATCTGATACAACATACATTGAAACCTGTATTCCCTACACAAAGTTAATTCAATAATCAATAACTAAATGCAAGGAATTCAGAAGACAGCAATCTGCTAATGTGATGCTGACCAGTGAAATGCATGGCAGGTTAAGCAGTCTGATGTTTTTGGGTTTCTGAAGAAGGGTCCAGACCCAAAACGTCAGCTTTCCTGCTCCTCTGACGCTGCTTGGCCTGCTGTGTTCATCCAGTTCTACGCCTTGTTATCTCAGATTCTCCAGCATCGGCAGTCCCCACTATCTCTGATGTTTTTGGGACTCTCTATAAACACAGACAAGTGCCAAACAGAATGTTAGAGTGGCCTCGCGACTGATGAATCCAACCCAGAGAGAGAAGAAAGGGAACGGTTCAAAATACAATTTGAAAACTCTGTGGTACTTATCACAGTCAACCATGCGGCCCATTGCCACCACCCAGCCTGTCCTGTAGAGGCAGGACATTTGTCAGCATGATCACAGTTAAACTCAATTTTATACTTTACATAATGAGACTGCAATACCTCAATATGCTTCATTGTTTAAAATGTTATGTGGGCATCACTGGCTGAACCAGCATTTATAGCCCATCCTAAATGGAGAAGATGGTGCTGTGCCACTATTTTAGGCCTCTATTGATACCCGGATGCTGTTAGGAAGCAAGGGCGTTTCAGCATTTTGTCGCAGACGGAGAAGGGAAAGTGATCCAGATCCCACTCAGGATGATACGCTAGTCGGAGGGGCACTTACAAGGGCTGATGTTCCCATCTGCTGTCCTGATCTTCTAGGATGTTATAGGTAGAGGGTTTTGGAAGGCGCTAATGGAGAAGTTTTGGTGAACTTTTAGGACCTACTATTGTGTAACGTTTCCTCACGTTCAACAAAGCAGATCACACTGAACTCCCGGCCTTTTAACGACACCCCCTTAATCCTTTCTTAAGGAGCTTTTCAAAAAAAAACTTCAGACAAAAGCCTGTACCTTTAGGTGTGCCCTAGGAAAGGGAGTAAATTAGCTTGTCTGGTTTGACAACTTTCTCGAATGAGGAAGTATAATGATTGGTTTAGGAAACAAGGGGTGCGGGGGAGGGGTTTGGAAAGTACTTAAAACTAATAAAAACAACCTAACCTTCAGCGCCTGGTCATTGAAGCCAAATTAGAGCAAACACAAAGGAAGCAGAGGAAAATTAAGAATTCAGAATGAAGAATAAAGTCCATAAACTTCAAGCCTGATCAAACTCCATTCCGAGATGAGTTTGAAACCGAGTTCTTTCAGCAGCTTTGGTGTGAGCACCCAGCCATAGTTCTGAGTCCACCATGTCCTGAACAATTCCAAACACCTACCTGTAAACAGCGCCAGTCCAACCTCAAAAAGCATCCTTCCGTTCACTCTTCCAACCGACTGATGTTTAAAAGCAACACTCGTTCTCAAAACCTGAAGGGATTGATTTCGCGGTAACTTCCCCCAACCTCACCTTCACTCTGCCAGGTAGATTACACCCGGAAGACTGAGAACATGTCAATCATTGGGATAACTATCTCATTGGAGCGCCGCACACCTCCTTCACGTTGATTGGGGAAAACGTTTTCTCCCCACTGCACAAACATAAATAAACAAATATTCAGGCTTCCAAAAAACAACTCACATTTTCAAAAGTCACGTTTGTACCCTAGTCTTTGTTCTTGTCTGTCTACTGTGTCAATGATTTGTATTGTTTTGGAATGTTTCATTTCCAAGGAAAATTATAGCCTAATTTCCAAACGGTAATACCATTCACTGTAGGGTGTTCAAGGAGTTTCCAACGTGATATAATTAAAACGGTCAAAGCACCGTACACACGCTACTCGATTTTGTTTCTCGTTCGATGAGTGAGGATAAGTCCAGAGGACTATGAAGACGGACTTTGTTCTCAGCCAGACAGCCGTTCAGTATTCTACTTCCCCACACAATCTTTCCATGGGATGTTTGGACTGTAATCAGTCCCCTGTTGTCTAGAGAGGATCAGGGACCTGTGGAATAGACAAACAGTTGCGAACCGTTCTTAAACAATCAAACTGAGGTTTTGTAGATCAACAGCGGAGAATCAAATGAGTATTTTATATTCAATGCCGAATCATGTAGACAGAGCGGAGGAAAGTGGTTTAAGAGCGAGAAGAAACAAGAACAACTCATTCTTTCTTATATATCAACTCCAAACGCTTCTGAATGCAGGATCCGCTGCACTTGTAAACGATTTTTTTTGTAAAAGAGATGTTATTTGGCAGAAATTAAGAATTATCATGACGATAAAATGTGCTTAGAAGGGAAAGGACAATCTCTGTTTGGTGGAGCAATACATATATCGTCCTAGTACTGCAATGTCAGGCACTTCCTTGTGTTTAGGCGCCGCGCCTCTTTACTGGAGACAACGGAACTTCTCAAAGGCGTAGATAACTTTGACAGCACTGTATGTACAGTTACTAACAGTTAAAGTCTGATATTTGCATCACCACTGTATTTGCTGCACGATCTGACACTGGATGTTTTAATGAAAGTTAACGTTTTTCTCGTGATTACGACCGAAATTTTATTTATTTAATTGGTATTTTAATATACTTGATGAACCGAAGGATCTCTTCTGCACTGTACGATTCTATGAGACAGAAATAATAACTCAAATAATTAATCAGTTAAATTGTGCATTTCTATATATTCCAATGTGCATTTTTGTCAGACTGTACCCTTCCACAGTCCCTCACCTTAGATTACTGCCTGATCAAATCTCATGGGTCAACATCTTCATTAAAATGAACATTAAAAAAGTTAATGTTTCAAGTCTGATAATGACTTCTTCAGAACATATATTAGACTGGAAATATTAACTTTGTTTCTCCCTTCATAGATGCTGCCACATCTGCTGAATTTTACCAGCATTTTCTATTTCTATTTCAAATTTCCGGCATCTGCAGTATTTGCTTTTATTTCTCAGGAGCACTGCGTTGACTTCATTCACCCTGTAAGGCTTTGCCTCCTCCAAGACCTTACTTAGCTTGATTTCTCTCCTTTCCTTACCCTGCTGATCTCAATTTCTGTGGATACCTACCAGCTGAGTGTGAGTTGTGTCTTAGTTTGTAGCACTCTTACCTCTGAGTTTGATTTGATTTGATTTGATTTATTGTTGTCACATGTACCTAAGTACAGTGAAAAGCTTTGTTTTGTGGGCTGTGCAGGCAAATCATAGCAAACAAGGACATACAGATCATAGGATGCTTGGAGAGCGGAAGACATATGTGGGATTGTGTTCAATAATGACCGAGATCGGTGAGTGGTGAAAACAGCCTCTTTATTGGGTATCTGCAGTCACACAGTGGAGCCAGCGATGGAATCCAAAGCACAGTTTTACAGTAGCCTCTTTTATACATAATTTTACATACATTAAAATTTTAGCATTTATGGTGTCACACAGTTGTATCTATTGTATACACGTTTGCGTGACATCTGTCCTGGGGAAACAGGAGATGGTTTCAGCACTTGTTAAATGCTGGCTGTTACACCTGAAGGGATTAAAATGACTGTCCAGTCTGAGTTTGCATCATTAAGAGGTGTTAGTACTTTTGTCTTTAAAGTTAGTAATGTTAGTAAAAATACTAGACCAACATGATCCAAGTAAATGAGAAATTGTATGTATAGTAAATAAAACTATAGAGAAAGTGTTAAACTGATCTCCCGCAGTGGGGGTGTGAGATTTCATTTACTATTGCCAGTCATTCATGCAGTTTCACGGAAGTGCTGTTTTGATAGTAAGTTTCTTAAGGGGGTAGCGGCCCTATTTAATGCATACTTAAAGAGTATAAATCTGTATGTTAGTACAAGATGGTAGTCCAAAATAAAAGTTAGAAATAGGTAGTACAGTGTTATAGAAATGGATAGTGTATAAGAAAATTTCAAAGACATAAAGAGCAGCAGACTGTAGGGACATGCTAGTGGAGGAAACTGATGTCTTGTAACCTATTCAGGTCCCGAGAGACAGTTGCTAAGGGCTAATTAATATTATGAGATAACAAGGTGTAGAGCTGGATGAACACAGCAGGCCAAGCAGCATCAGAGGAGCAGGAAAGCTGACGTTTCGGGCCTAGACCCTTCTTCAGAAATAATGAAGAAGGGTCTAGGCCCGCAACGTCAGCTTTCCTGCTCCTCTGATGCTGCTTGGCCTGCTGTGTTCATCCAGCTCTACATCTTGTTATCTCAGGTTCTCCAGCATCTGCAGTTCCTACTATCTCTAATTAATATTATAATGTTTCCATAGTTTCAAGTGAGTTATGGAGACACAATGGTAGGGATGACATTGTTCTGAGTAGGTAACAGTATTAGCACTTATTCAGGGGTAGCCTTTGATACAGAAACAGGGGGTTGATAAGAATTGAAAGGTGTAAAGGAACAGTGATGGGTTGGAAGGGATGTTTAATTTAGTTTATCTTGTAAGAGTAAAATATGCTACAAAAATGCGGTTTTATGAATGAATGGATGGAAATGCAGTATAGTAAACATAGAGCGCTTGTGAGTGAGTTAGTAAAGAGAATCATAATGCAATAACTCACACATACAAGGTTACAACCACACAGGAGATGCACAAAGCGAGATCCATTAGCAAGATCAACATTATTTGAAGTTAGAGAGTCCATTCAGCAGTCCAATAATGGTGGGGAAGAAGCTGTTCTTGAACTCAAAAGATTAAGGATTCAGAATCAACTCTAGAATTTCAACACAAAAATCCACCCTGGCAATGCAGTTTGTTGCAACCAGGTAAATGGGATGAAACACTTCCCTAATGTGTTGCTACAAAGATAAATGTTAGGTTTAGTGCAAAGATACATGACTCTCCTGTTAAAATGTAGGTCACTTTTTCACCAGAAACAATAAATAGTGAATTACAAGGTTTTATTTAGTGAAAGAAAAAGCAAATTTATTATCAGCTAACCCCAAGGAAAATAATAAAATCAAGTACACACAGGTACAAAAGAGATAGTGGAAGATGAAAGGAATATACAGTTTAAAGATCTAAGGGTGTCCTTGAGACACAAGGTTTTAACCTGAGACCATGATTGTTTCATAAGTGTCTTGAATTATCAATAGCAGTGAATATTGCAAATATCCTTTTTAAATTCTTGGAGGCCTAAGGTTTCTCACTAACTAGTATTGCCACCTGGAATCATCTCTTGAGAAGTTGAAAGGGCTTTTTTTCTCCAGCTGGTTCCACTTCTACAGCCAGAAAATCCATCTTCTCCGGTAGGGCTCTTGTAATGGCTCTTCCTACCTCTGAGACAGAAGATTCCGGTTCAAGACCCACCTGCTCCAGAGGTTCATAATATCATATCCAGACAGGTTGATTAAAAATATTCCTATTGTCTCCTACAGTCAGCTCCTTCAAATACAAGCTTGTTATGTGTATTCTGCCTGAAGGAGGCATTGTTTTAGGCTTGTTAATTGTAAGCAGTTTCAGCTCTCATCTGTGAAAATTTCCATAAAGGTTAAATAAAAATAGAAGATGAGAGCCTTTTCACACCTGATTGGGTTGACTAGTTTTAGTGCCTTTCGATAAAAGTCTTAATTTCAGTTCATATGGTTTTATCTATTCCACTTTGGTTTCATAAAGTTTGGTCAACCTGCGTGATCAACTCATTGTTGTGGCCATTTTTCAGTCAGTGTTTTTCAATTTTTAAAAACCATTTCAGCCTATGAAAGTCCCAGGCATTAAAATCAGATAGTGGAATTTGAAAATCAACAGTCAATCTTTTACCACTTAGTGACAAGCCCAATGTTGAGGAAGACCTATACAGTTAGAGGTGCTGCCTTTTGGATGACATGTTAAACTGAAACTCCAGGTGGATATGTATAATTTGGTGGCATCCATCAAAGAAAATAGAGGAATTATCCTCAATATTATTACAAATATTTATCTCTCAATCATCTTCACAAAACGGATTATCTGATCATTATCACATTGCCATTTCCGGAAGTTTGCTGAGTATTTGATTTCCATATTATAACAGTGACTATTCGTCAGTGGCTGTAAAGTGGCTGTCCTATGTTTGTGAAAGACACTACTTAATAAAAGTCTTCTTTCAACTAATATCCATTATAAGTCCACTGATCCTGACAACTAGTTTGACAACAGATTGTCCCATCATTCTCCTTGTAGGTTCTCTAAATCACTGTCCCACGTTCTTAGTTTCTGCCACATCTATGCATGCAAATTATCCTTGTAGTTTCACCAGGTTGCTATCTTATTTTTAGGCATGCCTGGTGCTGCTCTTGGCATGCCCTTCTGCACTCTTCATTAGCCAAGGGTTGGTCTCCCGGCTTGATGGTAATGGATGGGGGATATACTGGGCCATGAGGTTGCAGATTGTGTTGGAGTATGATTCTGCTGCTGTTGATGGCCCACTGTGCCTCAAGGAGGCCTGGTCTTGAGTTGCTAGATCTGTTTGACATGTATTCCATTTAACAGTGTTAGTTCCACACAACAAT